TCCTTTATATTTTTTACTTTGAGATAGGATATTGCTAAGTTGATTAGGGCCTTGCTAAATTGATGAGGCTGGCTTTGAATTTGTAATCCTCCTATCTCAGACTCCTGAGTTGCTGGGATTACAGGTGTGCACCACCATGCCTGGACATTTTTATATTCTTAGAATTATCATGTTTGCTGTTGCCTATATCTGAAAAGTTCTCATCTAAATTGTTCCAAGGACTACCCATCCCCAACTTTCAGGTTTCCATTCAAATAGTACCTTCTCAGAGATGTATTTGAATGCAACAAATTACTTCTATCCACTTACCCCATAAACCTGACTTAGTTGTTATGGTATTTACTACCAGAGTAACACAATTAGTTGCCTGCATGTTTATCATCTGTCTCCATTAAAACGTAAGCACTATGAAAACAGGAACTTTGTTATTTGCCATATTCCTGGTGAGTTCTTAGAATAATATCATACTCAGAGTAGTTATTCAATAATACATGATTAACGAAAAAATCCTATCACACTATCTTCAGTAGAAGGTTCAGTAGGCTGTTGGCATCTGTGGATTTAACACTAGTAATTTCTACTATGTACAAATGGCCTTCTAGGATCTTGATAGTCAGGAAGCAGTATATAGCTTACAGGTTTCAAAGAATTTGCTATTCTCAACTCATATTCATAGAGTTACTTTAAAAGTAATGCAATTCTAGCTCTACTGCTTATTATCTATATAACTTTGGGCCGGTTCCTTAACCTGTCAAGGAACTATGAAAATTTAATAAATTAACCTATAGCACTTAAATTTGCATTTGATACACATTAAATAACCAATAAATATTAGCTCTGTTTCTGTGGTTTTATTTTGGTAAAACAAACCTCTGGAAAGAAAGTCAACAAGTGTTCCTATGGTGAAGATAAAATGGTATCATGTAGTGGAATGACAGTTTTCAACAGAAAATAAATGTTTTATGTGGCAAAACTTTTTACACTATAGCCATGCTCTTGAATTTGGAAAGTAGCAAAGATCTTGAGATGAATCTCACAGAAAAGTGAAGATTGTACTTCTTGGTTGAAATCAATTTAACAGCCTACTAGGTTTCCCTTGCCTTCACAAAGTGGACCATTCCAAAATCTATCCCCTGCTACGGATATTGTTCCCACTGCTAAAACAATTAGAGTCTCCTCAAAGTCAATTTCAAACATGACCTCATATGTAAATCCTTTCTTGATCATTGTCAAAGACAGATGATTACTCCTGCCTTTGAAATATCCAGAAAACTCCTAACTTCTTATTCCATTCTATAGTGAAACCATCTATGTACCTATACTTTTAAGATTATATGTGGAAACCATGTATCGCTCATCATGCATTCAACAAATATTTACTGAGTGCCTGTCATGTACAAAGTACAAAGGACAGGAAGGCAACAAAGACATGCAAAAGTAAATGCAGTAACACCACAGCTGTACAGTACACTGTACAGTGATGGTGTGAAAGAGTGGTCTCTTCTATACCCATTTGCAGTATAATATGTATAACAGGACTCAGTAAGTATCTGTCAAACTCAATTCCTGCCTGTTTTGGAGTTTTCCTCTAACATTGTAGCTTACTGTGCTTTTCACCCCAAACTTTAAAATACTGTCTTAGCCTGAAAGGCTGTTATTAAATATTTTATATATACATGTCATACCTCCTTACTATAACATGTACTTGAAAGCAAGGCTTCCCAGAGCATTCAATACAAATTACTAAGTATTAAATGTCTGTTAAAGTGTCCTACAAAGTCCTAAAGCAACCAAAAATTGTCTTTTATTTATTTTACATTGTTAGCAGCATCACTTTTGAGCCACTCCACTTGTGCTCTAGTTCTGCATAAAGCAAGGAGCCTTCACAAAGGAGTTCTTAAAAACAAGAAAGGTCAAAAGGATGTCTGTTGGAAGCATGAAATTATGCCACCATTCCCAGCCCAAGAGTCCAGATTCCAGAAGGAAAGATGTATTTCTTCTCACAACTATTAAAGGTCTGGGTCCTTTTCAGGATTCAGATACAAATGCAGATAATGAATTCATCTAGATAGTTAGTTAACTCGGGTGACTATAAGACAATACACACATAAGGAAGCGTTCAATAAATGGTAGTTTCCTTTTTCTCTATTCCTACACTGTTCTAAATCCTATTCATAAATAAGAAAACATCAACTAAACCACTACAATTTCAATGTACTTAATTAACATTCAGGAGAAATGAATTCCTTGTCCCCTATTCATTCTAATCTAGTAGACAGTTTGGAGAGCACAGGGGTCTATAAGGCAGAGCTCAAATCTTATGTATAAACTCAAAGAAGACAAGTAGAGAACATTATGCAACTTAACACTATGTTTACTGGTTTCTACAGTTATCACCTGGTACACAAACCCTTGGATGCTAAGTCACTTACACATTTGGATACAATCATACCCACTAGGATCTAAGATTGTACAAACCAGTATTTTCAGTGTACCTAATGTGTTACACAATCCTTCTACTCAAATCTGGCAAAATGTAGGCTTCAATAGTTGTATACCCATTCCAAAAGGAACTCACTTTCTTGTTTTAAATTTATTATAAGTCTTAGTTCTAGAGAGGGTGTTCTTTCTTTTCCACTTCTCCCACCTCTTAATTATTCTAATATCAAGAACAACAGATTACTAGCAGACCTCATATTTGAATGGCACAAATCCCTATTGAACTTTGCCAATATGAATAGAGTTAATGATGGAATTCAATGGCAGTTGAGAAAAAGAGCTTTGAGTTATACAAATCTCAATGTACAAATACAATAAGTTGCCCTGAGAGTTACATTTCTAATCTATCCCACTTACGTTCCAATCTCTCCATCCTTCAAATTTTACCATTCTGACTTAGTTAAAACTATTAAAACTCTGACCTCCAAGTCCCACATGGTAGCTTGTGTTCTCCTGTCTGACGATGTGGGTGTTCCTATTACCTGCCAGTTATATGATCCATTTGGCTCTCTAGAGTCTCTGAACCTAAAAGAAACTGGCAACCCATGCTATCATTTTTTCACTAGTTACAGCTTCTAAAGGTGTAGCCTGGAAAATAACTGTATCCTGAATCAAAACAGTTCAGTTCCTATTAATCTAAGGTTCAATTTTTCAGTAGGTTAATACCTGAAATGTCAGTTTAAAAAAGTAAACTATGTATTCAAATTGCTTCACAGATATTATAAGAATATAGCCATTCAATATAATTACAGTCCAACAGAGAATACCTATCATATATGGTTTCTTTTAAAACACATTTTGTAAGAAAAATAAATTTGTTCACTAATTATTCTCTGTATGTTATTAGGCAAGAAACACAATGATAACTTAAATTTGAATGTCAATGTCCATCATACCAATGATATTACTGTATTTCAAACCAAATCTATCCTATACCTTAGCCCAATTATAATTACACATCTATACATTAAAAAAAACTTAGATTTTTAAAAATCCAGACAGCTGATCACTGCCATTATCCTTTATAAAATCACCTCAGCTTCTCACTTATAAATTTTTCTCCATTCTATGTCTACTTTCTGCAATGATAAACCCTGGACTTTCAAAAGAAAAATTAGGTCTTCGCAGTTGTTCTAAATAAAATATAGTTTTAAAATAGCTACATATTTCTAGTGTAAGCCTTACAAGAAGGGTAAAAGCACAGGCTAAAAACAACACATTACTTGCTAATAATATTTCCTCAACACCTAGGCTAAACATTTGTGGATAAATAAGCCACATGTTTTTTACGTAATAAAAAGTTTTGTAAATGTTTTTGTTTAATTACAGGAAAACTGCTAAAATACATATAAAGAATTAATAAATTTTATTTACTACTCCTGTACTAGCAAAATTGTGTTTCAGAGCAAAAGAGGAAAGACACAAAAGATAGAAAAATAGATGGAAATAACCCTTGTATACAAAATAAGTTTTATCCTTCTACTAAACTAAAATCAATGTGAAGGGCAAAGTGATATAATGAGCTATTCTGATACCAATCAAAATGTTGCTTCCCATTATACCAGAAGAGCTCCAAATTAAACAATTAATTTTTATCTGAAGTGGGTTAAAGTAGTCACTAGATGTCTACTCCAGTTACTCAATTATTCTATGATCTTTGATGAGAATTTATAACACTTTTAACTCCCTCCCCCTTTCATTAACAGAGATGCTATTAACAGAAATGAGAAATCAACAGATCTTTGATACTAGAGATGATAAAATCTTATTACTATGTAACATTCTAAAAACTTGATTTGCAAAAATATGAAGATATTTTATAATTTGGAGTTTTATAAAAATTTTGTGATAGTAATAGCTAGCATTTATTGAGCACTTACTATGCGCCAGGCACTATGCTAAGCGCTTTTAAAGTATTAAATACTTCTAAAAAGAAGAATCTTATATAATGAAAAAAATGTGAGTCAAAAAATCTAGATTCTATAACCAGAGAGATCTAAAGCAAAAGAAGAAACACTGCTAAACCAAAACAAACAAACAAAAAAAATCATACACTGCTGCTAAGAAATAGGTTTACAATGACAGGCCGAAAAACACAAATGAAACAATCTTATCAAACCAACCAAACCAAAAAAAAAAAAAAAAAAAAAAAGAAAAGAAAAGAAAAGAAAAAATCTTTTAACTTCCTCTAATTGAAAAATAGAATACCTACTTTTGTTTACCCAAAATTTCAACAATACTTTACAAAGGAACATCTAGATACAAAAGATATCAAAATAAATTTCAATCTATGCTATACATAAGTAATAACCAATTTAGAATGAGGCCTGAAATAATGAGGTTTTACTATATAGTAAAATAAAGAAAATTCTGAAAATTAAGAATTTTTCCTGCTAAGCCCTACAATAAACCCCAAAGGGCAGCATCCATTGTTTTTTATGTAGTAGTTATTTATTTTTCTCTTTAAATAAAGTATCCCAGAATAAATACAAAATTCTTACTTTGTTGCCCGTATAAACTTGCCCCAAACTGAGACAGCTGACCTGATGTAGATGGTGATGCCAGCATCTAGAAACAAATTAATTACATTAGAGCATAAAGAAAGAGCACAAAGCATTGCATTTATATTTTACAAATCTTGTATATCACACCATAAAAATCAGTCTAACGCACATTTCTCATTCTTCAAAACATAAATATGTAATCATGTTTCTTAAGAGATAATAACTAGATAAATCAAACAGCAACTGGAAATAATTTTTAATACAAATTTTCTAAAAATTATACTAACCTAAAACAGCATTACTGCTTCCCTTAAAAAAAAAAAAAAAAAAAGGCTAACATATCTAACAAAAACACAAGGATAACATCTCAAAAAAAATCAGTTTTATAAATTTATAAGTGAGATGACTTGATTCCTAGATAATATTAAACAAATTCTAAATAGAAAAGTTTTCTATGTTGTAAGAATACTCCCTGGTTTTTACATACAATTAAATTATGTATATCAAATTGGGAGAAAAACTGAACAACCACACATGAAGTCTTAAAAGTGGAGAGAAGATACAAGAGCAAAGAAACAAGTAAAAAGCATACAAAAAGACATGGTATATGATTTATATAATTTATTGGTAAATGATATGACTTTCATGGTACTTATACAATGCATTTATTGCACCAATATCTTTTTTTCCTAGTAGAATATAAATGAAGGTATAGCATATGAAACATTCATCTTTACATTTCTTCACAGACACAGCAATGTAGTAATACTATATATAGATACTTAAGCTGAGTAAATAAAAATGTACATATGTAAGTGTGTTTATGTATTTCCTGTTTCATATTAGACAACCATCAAAACACTTTGGCATAATAAGGTATGGGCTATGCCATCAAAAGGTTTATAATCCAGTGGGGAAAAAGAATGAGTTATACAAATTATATTCTAAGGCATGTGTGGCAATGCTATTAAGAAGCATAAAGAATCACTGGAGAAGGTAATTCTGCACAAGAGTGATATATCAGTAAAACTCTATAGGGGATAACATTTGATGAGGGTATAGATGAGGGGCCTACCAGGCCAAGGATATGCAGTGAGAATAAGGTCAGTGAGAAAACAATAAGAAATAGTGGTGGCTGGATAACAGGATAATTAGAAAAGGAGACAAAGCTCATCCAAATGGGGAATATAAGAATGGGAAAAATACAAGAAAATTGGGATCAGAGTGCAAACAGTCCTCATAAATGTTATACAAAGATGGTTACTAAGGATGACAATAAAGAGAAAAATAATATTAAGCAAGGAAATTACATGATCAAAATGAACTTTGGGAAGATAAATCCTAGAACAGAAACAGAAATGGAAACAGTGAGATATCAAACTAGAACAGCAGAGTAGGACTACAAACAAAATATTCAGACAGCAGAATTAATGGTACTTTACATCCTAAAAAGGTGGTGAGAGGAGACTCAAAAAAAAGAGAGAACTATCTACAGGGACTGCTGTGCTGTGGTTTCCAGGGAAGGAAAATTATGATGACATTGACCACAGTTAAGAAAACCCATTTAAACAATGAAGTTTATAATACACAGTTCATGTTATTTTCATATCAAAATACTTAAGCTGTTTTAATTATTCTAGATTAGCTCACAAAACTTTTTATGCAATAGTAGTTGTAAACTGGTAATGCACATCAGACTTTCCAGGGGCAGGGCTGAATTACATACCATTCCAAAAACAGCACTATTTATAATACAGGAATCAATTTTCTATTAAAGTATCAAACCTTATAAATATTTCTTCTCAAATCCAGAGGCTGTACAATCTAGACAATTACACTATCATGCAAACTATATATTTTTAATAACCAAATAGATCAAAATATGTGAGATCAAATTATTCTTAGGTGTTATAATTATTATCATAATATTAACTAGAAATATTAAGCATGTTAAAGATTCACTTCCAAATACAAGAACAAGATTCAAAGGAGACACATAATATATAGCAAAGCTTTAGTTGGTGACACAGGAAAAAGATACATATAAAATGCTTAAAAATTATGCCTTTGTTATCATTATCAGCTATTAGGTTTCAAATACAATGGTGAAAATGCATGACATAAAGTGAACACTTTCAAATGAACAACTTAAAACATTACTGTTTTCAAAAGTTTATGCCTACTGAATACTTAAACTTTAAAGAACATTTAGTCTACTTTCTCATGAAGGTTACAGATGCACAAATGTGTTAAAAGTGTGCCAAGAGATCAGCCCTCTCGGCATGGAAGGGCAGAGGTAAGGAGTAAGGCGCAACATGAAGGTAGAGTAGTTGTGGTTCAGTTACTTGAGATCAAGAGTAGTAGGGTGACCCATTTACTGTAGTGCATAATATTAAATATCATTTTCTTTATTCTACTACATGAAGGTTTATAAACAGTACATTCCAGGAATATGAAAGTAGTTTAAAGAGTTTATAACCTTCAACACTCCCACATAGAATAAGTGATGATTAGCTATATAGATGTTAAAATTAGTGCCTTATAATGTGTCAAAAATGCAAAATCATAAAATCTATTCCTAATAGTATATATTTTTAGATGCTGAAAGTTTATTTCATGAAATAAATCAGTGCTAAAAATGGAGGAATCAAAGAATGTGAACAGAACAGGAATGCTATTGATGAAAGCAACAAAAATGCACAAGAAATGTACTCTGACAGAGCAATGATTACTGTTAACAGACATCAGAAAAATTATATTTATTTTTAAATGTTGAAATTTAATGATAAAAGGTGCATTTCTGACACAAATACAAAACCTTAGGACAAGAGACATTACAATAGCTAATGCAGCATAAACAGAGAAAGCCCAGAGTTAGAGTTGGAGTTGGGGTTTGAATCCTGGTTCTGCCACTTAACCTATGAAACAGCTGAAGCTCAGTTTCCTTCCTATAAGATGAAATAACACTACCAATCTCATAGAATTGAGTGTAGATTAAATGAGATAAGATACAGCACACTGTAAGTGCTCAACAATTGTAACAGCAGCTGCTAATAATCTAATCTTCCTCTCAGTGCAAGACATTGTTTCTCAGACAGAGGGGCATCAGACTGGGAAATTTATTAAGTAACACCCTAAATTTATATAGCTTTTTGCCAAGGAGCTAAACTAAGAAGTTTACTTCACAAATTTCAGATAAAAGAAGATGCAGAACTTGTGTTTTTTTAAGAGAAGCTAAAGGTAAACAGAAGAGTAAATGTCACATAACCACTAGAATGATGAAACCAACAAGTTGTTATTGTGTTCTCAGTCTAAAACTATCATAATAAATCTATAATATACACTGCAATGAAAATAATAAAAACCGAGAAACAAAAAGAACTAATATAATGTGATTCTAATTACTTATTTTCCTGATCCAAAGAACTCCTTTATCTTTTAACATAGGAAATCAATAAAACAGAATTACATTTAAAAATTATTTGCATTATTAATAGATAGAACTCTGACATTCATGACCAAATAGTTTCAATTTTTGTTTAAAAATTGTAAAAACTTAGTAACAGGCAAATTTGGTTCCTACCAGATCTCCACAGCAACAAAGTATTAAGTCTTCTACCTCCCGTATTCTTCCTAACAGTGATCACTTCTCAAAAATTACTCCCTCTCTCTGACAAATTTACATCCAACCATAAAACCTATTTTAAAAAACACTAAATAAATTTGGTCAAGAAATTATATCCTTTGGGCTTCAAATCACAACAAAATTTTGTCAAATAAAAATTCCCTGACAACAAAAAATTTAAAAATGAAATAATTTTTCAAATAATCTTTTAAAAATTCATTGTATGATACAGTTAAATGTATGGTGATAACAAATTCCTATAATTATGTTGTCACTCCATAAAAAACATGATTTTTTTTAAACTACATCTTATTTACACACACACACAAACACACATACTCACACAAAGAAACAAAACAAGGGTGTATGCATACAGAATCCTACATCTAGAAAGAATTCAAACTGGTTTTTTTTTTGGTACTGGGGACTGAACTCAGGGACACTCAACCACTGAGCCACATCCCCAGCTCAATTTTGTATTTTACTTAGAGACAAAGTCTCACTGAGTTATTTAGCGCCTTGCTTTTTGCTGAGGCTGGCTTTGAACTCATGAATCTCCTGTCTCAGCCTCCCAAGCCGCTGGGATTACAGGCATGCGTCACTTACTACACACCTGTCTAGATTTCAAACATTTTTAAAATAGGATCATTTAAAAAATGAAATCTAGCACACACGCATAGAAAGAAAGACTGAGAAGATAACACATCAAAAAGAAGAAAGGAGCAAGAGAGGGTTAGAGGCAGGAAAAAAAATACTAAGGTACAGAACCTGACAGTTTATGAATTAGATATAATAAAATGAGTTTACTAGTTCAAGAAATTTTCCTTAAAATACTTCTATGTTTACATATAAAGAATATTTGTAAAAATAGTGAAATTATCAATGTAATTAATTCCTTAGTATTAAACAATTAATACTAAAAATTTTTTACTAAAAAAATATGCTTATGAACATCTTTTTATTGTATTGCCTGAATTCCAGGCTAGAACCAAAGTACAGTTTTATGGAAAGACAAATAATTGGTTTAAATATTTACATTTTAAAGGCATTTAAAATGCATTGTTTTTAACAAAGTCTATTAATTACACTTCCAAAGTAGTCGCCTCAATGTTCTCTCAAAAATACTGGCTTAGTCTTTCACTTCAAAAAAATTTTTTTGAAAAGAAATCCTCACTAGTATAGACTTAGTGTTATTATGTCAAATTTCCAAAAACAAACAAACAAACAAAAATACCCTCAAAGATTTTGAATTTTGAATCATTACAGATTTCATGCATCTGAACTAGGGATATTTAACCAAAGTCTAGGCAAGTTAATTTGAAATCTGAAACTTTTCTAATCTGAAGCACTCTGGATAAAGCACACTCATATCATAGATAATGCTTACTGTTTAGATGATGAGAATGATGAGGATGACAACACACACAACTGAGCTTTTT